AAAACAAAATTTATTCAGAGACTTCTTGTAAATGACAAATGACTTGTCTGCATTAAAGTGATGGTAGATACTAAGATCTGGACTGCAGCACATAGGCCAGGTCTGGCTCAAAGGCAGTGGTACTGACAGGCCCAGTGGCATGGGCGGGCATCGGGGGACATTGCCCGTTCAGAGTCAGCCGTGCCCCCTCCAACCCCCCCTCCTCCCCCCTGGACTGGAAGCTGTTTATTGTTTTTACCTTAGAATGGCCAACAGTCTGTTATTCCTATATCAATTTGATACAATAGGAGCTTCCGCACTTCCCATATCTGTGTCCTCTGTCACTTTTATCAGCAGTTAAAACTGTTCAATCCGTTGTTAACATGGTGTAACCTGTTTTTCCGAGCCGCCTTTAAACGCAACATGAGCGCTACGACGCTCGCGCTGGGTTTACACCTGTGAAGGAGACCTGCTGCTGCTGGGCGGAGCTACGTAGGTTTGTGTTAGAATCACGGCAGCAAACCAGCAAAACGCAAAGAACTTTTCACAGTTTTTCCCTCCAAACTAACAGCCTGAGTTCAGTAAAGCTGTTGGATGCAGGTAATGTTAGCTAAAAGATGACTAGCTAATAACAATACAGAACCTTAAGTTGTTAACAAGTAGCCTGTAGGCTACTGGTGTTGTCTATGTTCAGCTACGTAGATTCATTTTGTCCCCCCTGTTAAACTCGTCTGGAGCCGGGGCTGGGTATTGATGCACAAGATATCTCTTAAGTGAGAGTCCGTTAGCCGTGTCCTCACACGGCTCTTATTTAAGTTCATGACTGAGAATATCTTCTCACACAAATACATTGACCCAAACAAGATTAGCATTTTCTTTCCAAATGCTCGAATCTCTCGAAACCTGTTGGTAAAAGTTGACGAGAAAGCTGCTGGTGCCGACCTGCTGGCGGCTCTCTGCGTCACTCTGCAGCTCAATGAGCTCCATCTGCAAATGGTCTGAGTCACGGGCTGCTGCCCTCGAGTGGGTAAATGAGGAACAGCATTTAGTGTGTAAGCTCCGCCCTATGCAGGTAACAGTACTGCTACCCAATGTATTAATGCTACGTGTGGGCCAGATGTTATTGATTTTATGGCAGAGGCTGCGGGCCGGATGAAATTTGAGCACGGGCCGCATTTGGCCCCCGGGCTGGACTTTGGACATGCCTGCCTTAGCATCTGCAAGTGATATACAGCTTAGTTTAATGCACTTCACCGTAACACATGCAAGTCATGCTTTGTATGCTTTTACCATTTATCACCAGGGGGAGCAAAGACACCACAATCATCTCTGCAGTAGATTGAAATATGGGAAATTAATGAATTATTCACAAAAAGTTTCTCATAT